CTCGTATCTCAGTCCGCGCCTCATCTGCGTCCTTCATTCACAGTTTAAATCTATTATTTTTTGTTCCCAAATATCATGACAAATATTCATTTACTGTTGTGTTTTTATCGCCCGTCTCCGGTTCTCAGAGGGAACAAGGGTGAAATTATATTGTGTTTTTTGCTTCCCATGGTGTACGTGAAGCCTCAGTGGCTGAATTGTTTCTCAAGTTACTCCCCGCGGCGGGTGTTATGAAGTGTTAATTGCCACAGACTGGGGATCAGGAATGTTTATGTGTAATACAGATATCTGTTGTGCTGTTCTGAAGATGAAATAAACCCTGTTTCTTCTCACACAAAAAGTGATGTTTTTAGTGAAATGAGTGTGTTATCTCCACTTATAGCTGACAATGTAGTGTATTTCTTATTACACCCTCCCCTCCACCTAATGCGCTCACCAGAGGGTGTAATAAGAAATATTGCGATCAATATTGTTTGTTTAACGCCGCACTCAGCAATATTCCAGTTATATGGCGGCGGTCTGTAAATAATCGAGTCTGGATCAGACAATCCAGTGACCAACCGATCCCGTTAGTCGCCTCTTATGTCAATCATGGTTTACTAAAGACTAATCATCACGGGTTGCGATCAAAAAGGAGAGTTAAGTTATACGCCGCATCGACATTATTTAAGCCATATATCGACGAGACCAAATCTGCATACGTATACATATTAAGCACATAGTTTAGGGTGTGTTAAGGCGCGATCAGTGAGAGAAATACATCTACAGTGCAAACAACAGGTGTACCTGTCCGTAGTGGCGAACTATCCCTTTATATACCTAACACGTGTACCTATCCGTATTGATGAGGTGTCTGTATTGGTGAGGTATCGCTTTATACATCTACACCACTAACACGTGTACCTGTCCGTATTGGTGAGGTATCACTCTGTACACCTACACCACTAACACGTGCACCTGTCCGTATTGATGAGATACCATTCTGTACACCTACAGCACCAACACGTGTACCTGTCCGTATTGGTGAGGTACCACTCTGTACACCTACAGCACTAACACCTGCACCTGTCTGTATTGCTGAGCTATCGCTCTGTACACCTACAGCACTAACACGTGCACCTGTCCGAAGTGGTGAGGTACCACTTTGTAAACCTACAGCACTAACACATGTACCTGTCCGTATTGATGAGGTACCAGTCTGTACACCTACAGCACCAACACGTGTACCTGTCCGTATTGGTGAGGTACCAGTCTGTACACCTACAGCACCAACACGTGTACCTGTCCGTATTGGTGAGGTACCAGTCTGTACACCTACACCACCAACACGTGTACCTGCCCCTAGAAGACGAGAGTTTCAAGTGTTCAGTGATAGACACAACATTATTTATCAGTCGTTTGTCTGCCGCGATACTTGTTCCAGCCGACCACGGGTTTCTACACATCTGCAGTAATGAGTGACACATATACGTGGTGGATATGTCGGTTAATTGCCGAACTGTGGGCGAACGCAGTGATGCGATCATGCTTCGCCGGTGATCGGGGAAGATCGGAAGGTTAGTTTCGTGGCCTGCTCTCTGCCATCACATATCTGATAGTGGAGTCATAAACTAGATACGCGATTTCAAGTGACATCAGTTTTCCAAAGATTTCACGTTTTATGAGTTTCCTCGAAGCGGTGGTCCGCCAGAAATATGAAATCATATTAACAGAATAAGTACTAGCAGTAGTAGTAGTAGTGATAGTAGTAGTAGTAGTAGTAGTAATGGTAGCAGTAACAGAAGTGGCAGTAGTAGTACTAGCAGCAGCAGTAGTGGTAGTAGTAACAGTAGTGGTAGTGGTAGTGGTAGTAGCAGTAGTAGTAGTGGTGGTGGTGGCGGCAGTAACAGAAGTGGCAGTAGTAGTACTAGCAGTGATAGTAGTAACAGGAGTGGTAGCGGTAGTAGTAGTAGTAGTAGTAGTAGTAGCAGCAGCAGCAGCAGCAGCAGCAGCAGCAGCAGCAGCAGCAGCAGCAGCTGTACTAGTAACACGACAGGTCGTCCCAGGTTGTAACGTCCAAAAGTAGCGCGCAGAAACATTAAAACGTGTCCGAGCTATGTAAGCATTACTATACATCACCTTCTACAATTGTTCAGTACTTACCATGTCATTATATTCACACGGGTTCAAAAGACATAATAGACCATTTATGAAATCATCTTCTGGAAGCTCTATTATGAACCGAGACTGTAATACTTGTTTTGTGAATCATGTCTCACTACTGACTCATTATCTGATTTCAAGATGTGGACTTGTAGGACCAAACACGCTGACGTGCTTGTTATAGCGTGTATTATTTGCCAGCTCATCCAACACAAACTCTGCTCGCTGCGCCAGGGTCGCATTACCCTGAAAATAGCTTGAATTGTTACTACAACTGCCTAGTCAGTCACTGTATGGAGATCTGTGATGAGGGAGTGGGTTGGGTTTAACGCAGCTTTGAACACTGTTTCAGTTACGAAATTGCGTTTCAGTGGGGTGACACTAGCCTGAGGCGATCCAGGTTTCACACATTAACTATCCTGCTGACACGGACGGTCAAATCTAGAAACATACTCAGGCCGTATTTGGGATTAGAACCCGGAATCACCGATTTCTGGAACGGGTAAGGGACGCAACTCGGTACTGTGAATTGCTGCACCTTAGATCACCGGGTCAGTTGTAACTATCCTGCTTCATCACAAAGGTCTGTACCCTGAAGATACAGGTTAGAATTTCTTTCAGAGATTTGCATAATCGGATGGTCAGGATCACTGACTTGGTGACACTGACACATGTCATCGTATCCCCATTGCGTAGACGATGTTCATGGTGATCACTGGATAGTCTGGTCCAGACTCCTTTATTTATAGATCTCTGCAATTTAGCTGGAATATTGCTGTGTTAAACAACAAACAAACAAGCACGGGGTCTGTAAACTACTCAAAGAAAAATATTCAATGGCACCAACAGCAAAAACATGCATGCTGAGCCACCATCAGTCTAATGGCTCCCACGCGACAGTATCCACAGGCCTCATGCATCCAGGCCATTAGACCCTGGAATTCAACAAACCAACAGTGGAACTCATGGTTTTGGAAGTCGACGATACGCCACCACAGAAAGGTGGCGATAATCAGTAGGTGTTTGAAGATCCGTGCTGGTTGAGTCGATGGCGGTGGTTCGTCAGACTGGGTGACGTGGTTGATAGAGTACCATGGTAACCCGGCACCCATGCAGCATACTTACGACATCAGTCCCTTGACTCTGTTACTTGCAAACCTGTTCCAGCGCCACACCAATGTCTCTCCTGTTGCTTACAAGCGTGTTCCAGCGCCACACCAATGTCTCTCCTGTTGCTTACAAGCGTGTTCCAGCGCCACACCAATGTCTCTCCTGTTGCTTACAAGCCTGTTCCAGCGCCACAGCAATGTCTCTCCTGTTGCTTACAAGCGTGTTCCAGCGCCACACCAATGTCTATCCTGTTGCTTACAAGCCTGTTCCAGCGCCACACCAATGTCTCTCCTGTTGCTTACAAGCCTGTTCCAGCACCACGCCAATGTCTCTCCTGTTGCTTACAAGCCTGTTCCAGCGCCACAGTCTTCAGCAGCCTTTTTACAAGCATGGTGTTATTGAAGTTCTAATTACCCTGGATATATCAACGGAGCACCGACTCTTCACACGTGCAGGTTTCAAGGTCGATTCGGTGCACAACAAAACACTGAGCTGGACGTTATTCCTTCAGTTTAAGGAATCAATACCCTACGTTTTCACTATAAACTCCCACACGTGGCTGTAATTACATTAAATCGTAGGCAATGTGTTTGTGTTTGGTGCCATTTTCAAAACCAATCAATAAGACAGGGTAAAAGTCGTATTGGTCATTGATTTGATGAATAGGAATGTCCATTAAGGATAATTAGGTCATAACTCAATAGTTTTATGATGAAACCACAACAAAATTGGGTAATTATTTATATCCTCCTAGCTTGATGGATTCAGGGTAGGCAGCTGGGCCGACTTGCACGAAGCGATCTTAGCCCTACTACTATCTTAGGTCTGTGTTCGGATATGGGAGTTACGGTTGTTGAATCCTATAGTGGACATTTGATAACTATCTCAATGACATTTATTGCTGATAGTTGTGTGAAACAAACATATACTCACTTACTTTGTCCATCCAGCATTGAATGGGTACCCGGTAATGTAACCGTTAACTTCCTCGCGGCTAACAGGCAGCTTGAGCTGTGCATTCACCAGGGACCCGAGAATAAATGTGGTAATTTTCTATGCGCTTTCAATAATTCCATTATGGAAATTGCCATTCAAATGGACTTTCATTTTGAAAATATCATAATATGTACAAACATGAATTTGTTTCGCAACCAGCTTCACGAGTATGATAATTTGCCCGGGGCATGTTGATCTCTGTTAGTGTAGGGTGCATATTGACGGTGCGCACTGCATATCGACTTTCTAATGATATCTCACGTATTCATTTGAAGGTGGAAACTGTTTCCATCATGACATTTCAGTTTTGGCAACACTTTTGGTACACGTCCTCGACATTAAAAAGGACGTGCAGACTCAAAAGAATACACGTTATAACTCATCTTGTTTTATCCAGGTAAAGTCTAAGTAGTTAAATACATCTTCGCTTGGCACGTCCACACGTGTCCTTCTGTTGTCCTTGCATTGGTTCCACAGGTCCAAGATACGTGTTTCCCAAAGGATTCAATAAGCGGAGTTGCGTCCCTTAGGCGGACGAAAAGCCTGGGAACAATGGTTCGAATGCTGATTGTCCTTGATAATGTTTCATTGTAAATATGCACCATCTCAAAGGTCGCTGGGTTCGTTGTGGTAAATGTCTAAGACCGGTATCTGCATCCCCGACATTGAGCTGTTGTAATTTAAATTGTTATCAAAGCGGCCTTAAACAAAATTCACTCACTCACTGACAAACCATTTGAATGTCTTTCCAGCACAATGGGGGAAGGCTTGGTGTCGACGGAGAAGCAGGTGATGGTGTCATCTCGACTGTGGAAATGTCTTCGCGTGCTGCTCGTCCTGCTTGCTATCATCGCCATCCTGCTCGCCATCGCACTCGTCATCGTCATCATCAAGCGGTCAGAGAAGCCCTTCTGTGCAGGTGGCAAGACGGTCATCCCACGTAACCTGGGCAAGCCGGGCATATTCGAGGACCTAACTCCTAATGAAATGAAGATTGTCAGAGACTATATGCAATCTCAGAAAGGTCTCAGTCTTAGGCCCTACAGCAAAGCCATCTTAAACAGCAGCTATATATATTTGATAGATCTGCATCTTCCTATTAAAGCCGGAGTGTTAAAGTATTTAGACGGGGGCCACCGTGAACCTGAGCGAGCTGCCAAGGTGGTGCTGTATCGGGGGGACATGAATCCCCCGCGAGTTGAGGAGTACCACGTGGGTCCTCTACCCCGCCCCCGGTACCACAGGCTCGTAGCTAACCCTATCTATAGACGGATACCAATCCCCTTTACCAGTCGACCAGTGGATCAAGTAGAATATAACCACTTGTACGCAATGATCAGTGATATATCTAAAACGCTATACCCTGTTTTGATGGACAGTTACCGCTTGAGCTACCACAACTGCACCAAGGGTGTGGACTGTATGTTATTTTACGACGTGGCACCGAGAGGCATCAAAAGTAATGAACGGAAGACTTGGTTCTGGGCTTTTAGAGGAGTAGAAGGATTCTATTTACATCCTCTTGGATTTGAAATTCAGATTAATCACGAGTCTGTGAACGTTAGCGACTGGTCCGTAACGAAGCTGGTTTATAACGGACAGATGTTTTACAGCGTTAATGCTTTCGATGACTCTTACAGAAGGAATCGTTTGAAGAAAGTTCAACTGTTCATGGACAAATACGACAGCGTATACTCCTCGTACAATCGCCGTGGACTAAATGATTATGACGTGCCAGTTCGTGGACCGCGATTGGTCGAGCCAGACGGGAGGAGGTATAGCATAGACGGCCAACACGTTCAGTACTTCGGCTGGAACTTTAACTTCAGAGCTAGGACTTCAACTGGCCTTCAGCTGTTTGATATCCGATTCCAAGGCGAAAGAATAGCTTATGAAATAAGCCTTCAGGACGCCATAGTGTATTACACAGGGTATGGACCCGTGGCGGGTTCAACAAATTATTTTGACACCTCTTGGCTCCTTGGGGCTTCGTCTTTCGAACTGATGCCAGGGGTTGACTGTCCCGCCACTGCTACCTTCCACGATGCCTACCATTTTGCCGGATCTGGGGAACCATTGCATTACAAGAATTCTATCTGTATATTCGAGCAGAATTCAGGTCTACCTTTGCGTCGACATTACGCTAACGATTTCATGGGAGGTTATGGCTTTTATGGTGGACTTGTTGACAACTACCTCGTTATAAGGACAATAGCAAACATATGGAACTATGATTACATATTTGATTACATTTTCCATTTAAATGGCGTCGTGGAGATCAAAGTATCTCTGACGGGCTACGTACAATCTACGTATGGACTGCCACAGGAACGGGCCTACGGCAACTTCATCCACTCAGACGTCATCGCCACCCTCCATCAACACCTGTTCCATTATAAAGTAGACATGGATATTGTAGGAACCAAAAACAGATTCGCCAAAGTGGATATCTCAACAGAGACCATCTCCCATCCATGGTATCCGGGTCGGAATAAAACGCAAATGAAGTTCACGAAGAGAGACAAACAAACTGAAAAGGATGCCATTCTAGAATACGACTTCGACAAGCCAGGATACAGTATCATCTACAATGCTAAGTCTGAAAATAACTGGGGCGTGCAGCGAGGATACAGAATTCAACACAAGGCCATGAGCAAGTTCGTCCTTGATGGCGTTGACGTCACTCAGGCAGCAGGCTGGTCCAAATACCAGTTAGCGGTGACCAGATTCCAGGACGTTGAGGAGACAAGCTCCTCCATCTACGCACAAAACGACCCCTTCGACCCCGTCGTAGACTTTAGAAGGTTCTTAGACAACGATGAACCTATTGTCGACGAGGATCTTGTCCTCTGGCTAACGGCTGGCGTGCATCACATACCGCACGCCGAGGATGTTCCGTCGACTACGACAACCGGAAACCAGTATAACATATTTTTACGACCTTACAACTACTTCGACGAGTGCCCGAGTACGACTGTTTCCGACGCAGTCCATGTCCAACCAAGTGCTCATTATGAAGAAATCAAAATCGACACATTTGGTGTCGCGGAAGGTTCGAACTGTTTCGCTAACGAGATCCCCTACAGCGTGTTCAATGGCTCAAGATCCCCTGCTTAAAACCCTTGCTCAATGAATATAATAATTGTTGTGTTATTTTCTATCATGTTCAAGTTTAGATGTTTTACTGTTAAGGAATGGAATATAACTGAATGTTTAATTTTGTAATTTCTTTCCATATATTGTCGAAAAACGTCTCTATTTAATCCAAGTTTATTTTGGCAGTGGCCAGGCTGTAGTCTCAGATCCTAGAGAATATACCAAGAAACCAATCTATCGCTTAGTGTGAATGATTTGGCATGTCTGAATTGTATTAACCATTGTTCAGGGCTCAGATTTTATTCATTAGGGGTCCATGCATAAAGGGCAGGAGACCTATTGTAATCGTTCGATTTATTTTTTTAATTATTTTATATTTGTTGACATATTATTTGAAACAGGATCAATTTAGTTCTGAGACTACATATTGTCAAACATGCTGATGTATGTTTTAGTAATGTAATATGTAATATACAAAACGTAATAATCAGTAATATGTAACGAAATCATTATCAAAATATAGAACAAACTTTATGGGTAACAACTTCTTTTTATTCGTGACTGCGACGTTTCGATACAGATTCTTGTACCGTTGTCAAGAATCTGTATCGAAACGTCGCACTTACGAATAAAAAGAAGTTGTTATCCATAAAGTTTGTTCTATATTGTACTTCCCAACTTCTAAAATGCCACTCAAAGAAGTTATCATTATCAAAAGACTTCGTCTTGAGTTTCCAATGTTTATGATAAACCAGTCAACGCGCTATCATATTTTAGTCATAGTTTTTATGGAACCAAATTATCTTTATTGCAGGGAATGCAAATATATGCACACACAAAGTACACGCATTGACATATACCAGCCGATTGTTTCATATTGCTATAGCTTGTCCTATATATTATGGTAACTGGAATAATAGGAACTATTCGGGCGGACCTTAACAACATGTATATAATCCTCATGTCTCCATCATTATATGTAAGGCAAGTCGTTGACTGCGCTGTCCTTTCTAAATTCCCTTTTCTATAGTTGACACATTAAAGGGTTATATCCCCCTGCCAGACACCTGGGTTCGATTCCCAACACTTGTACATTGTGTGGTGACAGTGTTTTGATGATATTGATGGAGTATTGTAAAAGCTGTCCATTCAACCTCGATTATCCAGACTGCGCTTCCGTGTATGGGAGTTTTTACATTTCTGTGTAACAGAGTTCCATAAGATCATTCTGCGAATGAGTTCCAAGGTTAACGGTCTTTGTTTTCAAGAACGACGGGAACAATTTCTCATGGTGAAATTTTCATGGACTTCATTATGTAACTAATGTCTCTACTTGTATGTATGTACCAGTCATAATGTCAGCGATCTAACATGTCCATCACATAATCAGAGGATGTCTTCTCATTCATATAAAATGTATTTCCTTCAGTTTGTGTCATAATATTGTCACAATGGTAAATAAAATCATTTGTCAATCTCTTCTCATTTCACTCAATTAGTGTGGAGTAACCTACATACTACTAGTATTCATCTATTCAGTCGTTTCCTCAATGGGCAAGGATTTCACTGTTATGAAGCTACCATTTAGTCACACAGGCCCTAATCTGCAAGCTACAGCCACTGCACGGCGTTGGATGATTGAGTCTGGGCCAGCCACACCAGTGAGTGAGTGAGTATGGTTTTACGCTGCCTTAGCAATATTCCAGCAATATCACGGAGGAGGACACCTGCAATGGACGTCACACATTGCACCTATGTGGGGAATCGAACTGGGGTCTTCTGCGTGACGAGCGAACGCTTTAAACACCAGACTACCTATCGCCCCAGCCACACTAGTGGCCGATAGTGAGTGAGTTTAGTTTACGCCGCACTCAGGTATATGGCGGCAGTCTGAAACAGACAATCCATTGATCAACAGCATGAGCATCGATCTGCGCAATTGGGAACACAAGTATAGGTACACGAAAACACTGTAATCTACCAACCCTTGTCTCACCACAAGTACAGGTACACGAAAAGACTGTAATCAACCAACCCTTGTCTCACCACAAGTACAGGTACACGAAAACACTGTAATCTACCAACCCTTGTCTCACCACTAGTACAGGTAAACGAAAACACTGTTATCCACAAACCCTTGTCTCACCACAAGTATAGGTACACGAAAACACTGTAATCAACCAACCCTTCTCTCACCACAAGTACAGGTACACGAAAACACTGTAATCCAACAACCCTTGTCTCACCACAAGTACAGGTACACGAAAACACTGTAATCCATCAACCCTTGTCTCACCACAAGTACAGGTACACGAAAACACTGTAATCCATCAACCCTTGTCTCACCACAAGTACAGGTACACGAAAACACTGTAATCCACCAACCCTTGTCTCACCACAAGTACAGGTACACGAAAACACTGTAATCCATCAACCCTTGTCTCACCACAAGTACAGGTACACGAAAACACTGTAATCTACCAACCCTTGTCTCACCACAAGTACAGGTACACGGTACACGAAAACACTGTAATCTACCAACCCTTGTCTCACCACTAAGTACAGGTACACGAAAAACACTGTAATCCACAAACCCTTGTCTCACCACCACAAGTACAGGTACACGAAAACACTGTAATCCACCAACCCTTGTCTCACCACAAGTACAGGTACACGAAAACACTGTAATCCATCAACCCTTGTCTCACCACAAGTACAGGTACACGAAAACACTGTAATCCACCAACCCTTGTCTCACCACAAGTACAGGTACACGAAAACACTGTAATCTACCAACCCTTGTCTCACCACAAGTACAGGTACACGAAAACACTGTAATCCATCAACCCTTGTCTCACCACAAGTACAGGTACACGAAAACACTGTAATCCATCAACCCTTGTCTCACCACAAGTACAGGTACACGAAAACACTGTAATCTACCAACCCTTGTCTCACCACAAGTACAGGTACACGAAAACACTGTAATCCATCAACCCTTGTCTCACCACAAGTACAGGTACACGAAAACACTGTAATCCACCAGCCCTTGTCTCACCACAAGTACAGGTACACGAAAACACTGTAATCTACCAGCCCTTGTCTCACCACAAGTACAGGTACACGAAAACACTGTAATCTACCAGCCCTTGTCTCACCACAAGTACAGGTACACGAAAACACTGTAATCTACCAACCCTTGTCTCACCACAAGTACAGGTACACGAAAACACTGTAATCTACCAACCCTTGTCTCACCACAAGTACAGGTACACGAAAACACTGTAATCCACCAACCCTTGTCTCACCACAAGTACAGGTACACGAAAACACTGTAATCTACCAACCCTTGTCTCACCACAAGTACAGGTACACGAAAACACTGTAATCTACCAACCCTTGTCTCACCACAAGTACAGGTACACGAAAACACTGTAATCTACCAACCCTTGTCTCACCACAAGTACAGGTACACGAAAACACTGTAATCCATCAACCCTTGTCTCACCACAAGTACAGGTACACGAAAACACTGTAATCCAACAACCCTTGTCTCACCACAAGTACAGGTACACGAAAACACTGTAATCTACCAACCCTTGTCTCCCCACAAGTACAGGTACACGAAAACACTGTAATCCATCAACCCTTGTCTCACCACAAGTACAGGTACACGAAAACACTGTAATCTACCAGCCCTTGTCTCACCACAAGTACAGGTACACGAAAACACTGTAATCTACCAACCCTTGTCTCACCACAAGTACAGGTACACGAAAACACTGTAATCTACCATCCCTTGTCTCACCACAAGTACAGGTACACGAAAACACTAGGCAGCAAGGTTACACATGTTGCATGAGCGGAGAGCCCTATAATTTACACCGTCACTGAAACAAAGGACAATGTTCTGTCAAGTTGGTGTTTAATCAAATCTGCATCATTTAGTGAATCAACATAAATTCAAACGAAGAAAAATAGAAATATTTAAGTTGGCCTATTTTCAGACATGTCAGTTTGAAACACCCGAAGCTATTGGCACAACATATACATACATACAACAAGTGGTGTATGCTGAAGAAAATACCTTATTTCCTTGATTAATACACAGGACTATTTTTCTTTCACTCTTTACAATCTATATATGCATTTTCCATCTAATGATTCACTCAGATCCATCGACGGTAACGTAGTCGAGTTCACGAAATGTTTCTGTTCAGCAGGGACACTGAATCGTACGCATACTGTAGTCGAAATACAATACGTACATATACTATGTCCGGCGTTAAGTTAAGGCCAGGTGTTAAATGGAGGTCCGGTATTTATCTGTTTCAGATACCACAACGTTTACTACAGGCTCAGTATTTAATCAAGGAAATACGGTGATGATAGAGGGTCGCGGGATCACAGTTAGGGTTACACATTTCATTATCACCTACCTGGGGAGAACACTACTCAAGCCAGGGTTCGAAATACCCCATATATTAGTGTGCCATGGCACGGTAATTATTGAAATGGCACGGCTAAAATATGTTCTCGGTGCCCTTTTGACACGCCTGATTTTTCAGAGACATAACTCACATTTAGTCATTTAATCCCCAAAACATTTTTTTTTTTTAAATCAAATAATACCATGAATGCTCACAAACCCATTTTTATATTTAACATTAAATTTCAAATGATCATCATCATTGTCATTTATTCTAAAAACATGTGGGCATACTCAATTTCTGAAAGGCACACCTAAAATATTTGTCCGGTGCCCTAAGGCACACTTAGAAAAAAAAGTATTTCTATCCCTGCAAGCTGAAAGGTCTTGCTTTAACATTAATCTCATCCAACAGGTATCCACTCGCAGCAGAGTGTACATAGTTATATTTCGAACAAAGTCAGATTTTAAAACACTGATTCATACCGGGACGTGGCCGAAATCCATGTGACTGTCGAGAGAGTAACCTCATTTGTGTTAAGCACACAACATGGAACAACCAACATAAAATCCGCTTCGGTTGTTTTCAAGCTTGAAAAAAAGCTTTATATTTTCTAAAAGGAAATGACTTCTTAAAGCAGGGTTAAGTGTACGGTTCCGATTATATTCAGAGCTGGGGCGGTATTCAAAAAGCTTTATGAATACCGCCCCTGATGTTTATAAATCCTGCACTTTGTAACAGTGATGACATCAGGTGGAATGGGTGACCGTATCCTGCCTATGGGTGGCACACTGTCACAAACCAATGCAAAGGCACGTTAGCTCTTCACTCGACAAAACATGGACACGTATTTTACAGGGAGTTGCATCGGTCGTACTTTTGTCAGTAATGCTGGAAAAGTTGAAAATATCACCCACATGTCCACAGGTTCTTGAATGTCATTTAAAGAGAGTTTAGTTTTACGCCACTTTTATAGCAATATTCCAGCAATATCACGGCGGGGGACATCAGAAATGGGCTTCACACATTGTATCCATGTGGGGAATCGAACCCGGGTCTTGGGCGTGACGAGCGAACGCTTTTATACCCACCGCCCCGAATGGCATTTAGAAGTCATACACGCAAAGGAGAGAGTTTTATGGGTGCAATTTCTTTATTATGAGGAACACAACGTTTTGGAGTATATACTTACTCCTTCATCATTTCACACGATGGAGCAACTATATACTCCAAAACGTTTTGTTCCTCATAATAAAGAAATTGCACCCATAAAACTCTCTTCCTCACATGTCCACAATAAAAACTTGATAAAAACAAAACAAATTTTAAGTAGGAGTCGTATGACGCTCTAAAGATCTTCCTATGAAGAGCATGCTCGTTTGTACCTCAAACGGTGTAAAATGTACCCGCCACAGCAACACATACGACCTACGTGAGCTCCACAAAACTTTCCCTTTGGCACTGGACGCAGTTTCATACAAATCTGATCCGTGGATTCTCAAGACGAGCAAGGAATCTCAGCTGTCAAATACTCAAGGAGGTGTTTACATAAACTATAAATAAAATCATAGCTTACACCAGGGGATTTAACACTTGTTTTCATAACGCTTGCGTGTTCTTAAATTGCATAAACAACCTCTTAATATATTTCCAAATACATTTTACAGATATTTCTTTAGTTAAAGAAATTTATCAATTTCAAGTTTGACAATGTTTACATATTAAACAAAACTGACACTTGACTGAGTGCTTATATTTTTACATTTTTCTTGTTGTGTTGAATGATTTTGTTTCTCGTCACTAACCTACTCAAAAATCGTCCCCATCCTAAATATTTGAGAATGTAAAATTTAGTTATGGATCTGCATCTTTAAAGGTATCTACCATTCTTAAGTAACGCATTTTGATGTAACCGGCATGACGACCACTAAATATATATTTTCTAACAAATGCCACATAAAGATGCTGTACTCAAGACAAACATCTATGTCCTTTCAGTGTTGCCGATTATATTTGGTATTTGAAGCAGTTGGATCCAACCTCATTATC